TTGCCAGACCTTCCCCCCTAGACCCACTAGGTGGGTTTGAACCACTGACCTTAAGTGTAGCAGCCAATCAAAAATGACTTGGACCACCCAGAGACACATAGGGCTGTGGTGAGTTGACATTGAGTCGACCGCAACAGATTTGGTTCGGGGGGAGGGGGGCTTTGGCATCCCCAGTGCTTAGGAAAATGCCTGGCACATATGAACACCCAGTAAATACTTGCTGGAAGAATCAATTCAACCTGTTAGACAGTTGGGAGTGGAAGGGACTAGCTAGAGGCTAGCTAGGGATTGGGTCTTCTGGATTGTTGATGATCATAGGGTTAAAAGCATCTGAAGAGGTCATCTGAACCTCTACTTCAGGTTGAGCCATCACCCTGCCATAGCCATCAAGATTGGATTACTGGGAAAAGCGTTGGCCTGAGTTCCAGTCCTTGGGAGAGCTGCTTCCTCTCCTTTGGCCTTGGTTTCCCCACTCTAGCTCAAGGAGGTTGGATTGGATAATCTCTAAGTCTCTTCCCCCTCTGTCGGTTTATGGTTCAAGAAGAGGCAAAGCATTTTGGAAATGAGCATCCCCTGTGTTTGAATCAACAGCTCTGGCCCCATTCCCAAGAGTGCAGCTGCAGAGGGTGCACACCCAAGCCTGGCAGGAATGTAATGATGGGCTTTTGCACAGGCAAACCAGGCCTTACGCAGTTGGGGGAGGGGGGGGTCTTCCAAGCTGTCCCTCGAGAGGCCCCACATCTGCTCCAGCACTACCACTGGAGCTCACAAGGAGCTTGGGGAATGCCTCTGGGGAGAGGCCCTCTGAATGGGCTGTGGGGCCCCACCAGCACTGCACTTCCACTCCATTCCAAGCCTGACCTCCCTCTTCCTTCACAAGGCACAACCCGTAATGACTCTCGATCATTTTCAAAAGAGCAAAACCACCCCACATGACAAAGACTCCACTGTGAGGATTTTCAGAGCATATGCCACAAGCTCTGAAAGGATTCCAAAAGAGTTTCCAGAAATGCTTGGGCAACTGTGGCATCACTGGTATGAGCATATGGCTTCCCAGGGGGACCACTTAGATGGGGTGGTTGCTCCTTTGGGGACACAAAATCAGCCTCTGGTCTTACCTCAGAGCTGTGTGTGTAAGAAAGTGGGCATGTATCACGCATTCAATAAGCCATAGCCATGCTAGGCAGAGAGAAACGCAAAGACAGAGATAAGATGCCTCGCTCCTGGCTTCTAACCCTCGTTCTGAGACTTCCTGCCTATGCAGCTTGAGCACCCTTAACTCAGAATGGCAGAATATTGGAACAGGAAGAAACTTGTATAGTCACTTGTCACCTCATTTTAGAGATGAGGAAACTGAGCCCAGTGAGGAAAATGGTTGCCCAGAGTCACCCAGAGAGTTGGTGGCAGAGAGAGGATTTGACCCCTGACCTCCTGAATGGAGCTCATATGGAGCTCAGGTGGTCCATCCCAGCATCACCTCTCTCCACTGCCCTGCCCTTGAAAAGTATAGTAAAGATACAAGTTACTCACTCCCTTCCTCCTAGGTGATCGTGAAAAAAAACTCACTGCCGTGGAGTCAGATCGGACTCATAGCGACCTGGGTTTCTGCAGTGGTATCACTACTGAAGTAGGTTGCCCAACCTTCCTTCCTAGGAGTGGCTGGTGGGTTTGAACTGCCAGCCTTCTGGTTAGCAGTCAAATGCCTTATGCACTACGCCACCAGAGGTCCTAGGTGTTGGTTGTGAGGATCCATTAATTAATGCATGGGGAGGGCAGTGGGGGTGAGGACAGTAGATGAATAAAGGCAGGAAGTGCTGAGAGTGACAAAGGGCAGTCTCATTAATCCAGAGACCAGAGAAGAGCAAGGGAGGGTGAGAGCTGTTAAGTGACTGTATCACCAAGTCACATCCCTGTCACCTTAAATATTTCATGGACCCAGACGTTCACCTATGTAGAACAGCTGCTGCTTCTCCCACCAGGCTGTGACTGCATCAGGAACATGACCCCTTCACACACAAGCACACCTAACACAGACACACACAAGCTGGGGCAATGGGCTGCTACAGGACAGCCTCTAACTCTTACTCATTCTAGGAGGAGTTCCAAGAGCAGGCATGGAGCCCTCTGCAAGTCCCCAGCCCTGTCACAATGAACAGCCCACGCCTTCTTACACCCACAAGCCTAGAAGTACACACAACCCCCCACCCAGCTCTGGGCGTAAAGGTCAAAATCACACACACACACACACACACACACCCCTTCACCCACAGACCTGTTCCAATTCACATGGAGACACCAGCACCCAAGGCTGTACCCCGCCACGCTCCACTTTCCTACCCTCCCTCCTCCTCTCCCACAGCCAAGATCAGGAGGCTGTCCCCCGTCCCTCTCCCTGTTCTCTCCTCCTCTGCCTCCACCCCAGCACCCGCTGCTCCCAGGACCCTTTTCCCTAAGCTTTTCATCAGCCATCTCTCTCCAGTGCCTGAACTCTCTTGGCCCCTCTCTTTACCTGTAGCTTGTTAGGGTACGAAGTCTGAGAACCCAGCCCTTGAGAAGGCAGCGTGAGGGCGGGTGTGAGGCTTGGGGAGGAATTGCCGTGACCATACCAACCTTTGAAAGCAAAGGGACATATGAAGGGGGCTTAGGCAAACTGGTGGTCAGGATGAGGAGGGGGGGGATCTTCTTAGAAGAGTCTTACTGTTGCTGCCCTGCTAGGAGATAATATGACAATAGTAACAGCAGCTATTGATTAATTAAGGGCCTTCAGTGTGCCAAATATCTTACCTCGCAACACGCAACCCTTGAGGAAGGGACTATTGTGCCCATTTTACAAATGAGGAGATCGAGGCTTAGGAGGGGATCCTGAGGCTCCAGAGACAGGCATGTGAGCATCCTGGCTTCAGTGGACAGTCACCTATTTGGAGGATACTTTAGGCTCTGTTCTGCGTAACTGTGATTGGAAGGGAGTGAGTAGAGAAGAGGTCAGAGCAAGAGCCTGGTCCCCAATGGGCCTTGTGTCCCCCTAAAACAACCAAACTCACTGCCGTCAAGTCGATTCGACTCATAGCGACCCCTCCTTGGGTTTTCCAAGGTGGCTGGTATTTCTACAGAAGTAGATTGCCCAAACTTGCTTCCAAGGAGTGGCTGGTGGGTTTGAATCACCAGCCCTCTGGTTAGCAGTCAGATGCCTTAGGCACTGTGCCACCAGAGCTCCCCCGAGTCACCCACTCCACCCTTATTCTCTCTGCCTCAGTGCCTCACACCCTCTCCCTCTACTGTCACTTCTGCTTGGGGGGTGGGGTACAGAGAAGAGGTGGCCCTGCTAGAGAGAGCCAAGGGGTACTGCTGGTATAGGCTGGATGCTAGGGATCCTTGAGTCCCAATGACAGAAGAATGGACCAGTCAACATGCAAATGGAGGTCCAGCTGACCTGTGCCTTCAGGACCCACTGAGTCCCTATGTCCCCAACCTCACCCACCCCCACCCCCCAGAGAAAACTGAGCTGGCCCTGGCATGTGTAAAGAGATACTGCTGGGAGGGAGGGCAAGGGAGGTTATTTTGGGAGGTAAGAGGGGAAGGGGCCATGTGAAATCTAGGCCAGGGAAGGGCTGCCCAAGAGAGGAGGCAACTGAACCTTGAGGAGAAGATGAGGATGATCACAGGGTCCCCAAAGAACTAGGTATAAAGTAATAGAACTTGGTAGATGCTCCTTTTAAGGCTAAAGAAAAAGATCTCCTAGCCTCTGCCCCTCCTCCAACACTTTCAGTCCCTCCTCCTCCCCACTCCAGTCCTTCATTCTCCCTTTCCCTCCCCCTACCACATGCATCAAGCCCTGCCCCTCCCCAGAACCCCCCCCCAACACCTCCCCTCCCTCTGTCCAGTGCTCCCCAGTCCCCGGCACAATACCCACCAGCTCCTGTGAATATCCTTCTATCTTCCTCACTCACTAATATTGAGTGACATCCCGGTGCCCACACCAAACAAGTCCTTCACATAGTCTAATTCCCATCTCTTCAGTTACAGAAGATCTTTTTCGTTATTCTGCCTATGGTGGAACTGGAAACCAACCTCATCTGTAAACAAGCCACTGGCCAAAGGAGTGTCCCTCTACACCAGGAGCATTCTTTCCTTGCAGGCCTTTCACCTACTTTAGGATTCCCATAATTCAGCAAGCAAAAAGAGAAAAATCTATTTCACAAGCATTATTGGCTCCCCACCCCCATTGCTCCTTCTGCTGAGTCCCAGATGGTCTTCTCTCCCCAGCCCTCCACAGGCTCAGCGTTTCTAGGTGACGCTTAGGCCTCTGCAGACCCCTAAAGATCTTCAGGTTCACTTCCCTACCGCTGAGTGTACACAAGCGATGCTCACAACCTGCATCTCCCCTCCAAGTTTTCACTTCCGTTCTAATGCTACCTTCTGAAAGGAAAGTTCCTCTCCAAGTCTAACCTTAATCTCTCCTGCTGCATGCCTAAATCCCCTTTCCTTCTTTTCTTTAAGAGACTAACTCCTTTCAGATTATAAAAGAAATATTCTCGCGTTTGCCGCCCCCTTCCCCGAAGCGCATCTCCACCCTGTTGTTGTTGTTGTTTGCCGTCGAGTCGGCCCCGACTCATAGCTACCCCTCCTTGGGTTTCCGAGGCAGTATCATACGGAAGTAGGATTGCCCAACCTTCCTTCCGAGGAGTGGCTGGTGGGTTTGAACCGCCAGCCTTCTGGTGAGCAGTCACTAGCCTCTAAATCTGCCCCAGCTTAGAGGAGTTCTCTGTAGCTGCTCCCCACCCATACGTCTTTCCCAGAACTCTGAGGATACTTGGGTCTGGGCGCCCACACCAGCAGTCGACCAAGACTAGGTCGTGGCCACGCCCTGTCTAGCGCGCTCGCAGGACAGTGACCCCCCGCAATCCCCGGCGCAGCCACGACGGGGTTAAAGTAACGGGCTGGGGGAGGGGGAAGGGGGCCCGGGAGGGGCGGGTGCGGAGCCAATCAGCGGCCGCAGTGTCCCCGGAGCCGCGAGCAGGGAGCGCGGAGCCGGGAGCCGAGTGTGCCGGGCTGGGGCCGGGGCGAGAGCGCAGCGAAGAGGGAAGGCGCCCGCCCCAGCCCCGAGTCCTGCCGACTTCCCTCCCGCCGCAGCGCCAGCCCAGAGGCCGCCGCCCCAGCCATGGAGCAAGACAACAGCCCCCGGAAGATCCAGTTCACGGTCCCGCTCCTGGAGCCGCACCTTGACCCCGAGGCGGCGGAGCAGGTGAGGAGTAGGGTGGAGCGGCAGATGACTCGCCTAGATAAGGACAAGGGACTCCTGGACTGGGGGGACCCAGGATCCCTACCCAGTCCTCCCTTAGCAGTGCATCCCTTTGAGCGAGAACCGGCTCATTTTGGGGGTCCTCTATCCCCTCCCCCACCGTCGGAGCAAAATCTCCCCATCTGGGCAGAAGGATGAGCGCTACCCCTCGATGCCTTCCCCGCGAGAGTCGTCCTCTATCTACCTCCCCAATCCAGGTGGAGAGGGCCGGCCTGAGGACACGACCCCTCCCCCCTTCACTAATCCTGCATTTTCCACCTAGTCAGCCCCCGCCAGAGTTTTTGAGCTCTAGTGGGGGTGCCTAGGGGTACAAGCGGCAGTGCAAAGAGGAGGTCATTTAGCGGGGTTAGGTAATGGATGGAGCCTGGAGTTGGAAGAGGAGAAACAGCTCTCCCTGTCCCCTCCCTAACTGGGGCACACCTTGCAGAGCTCCAGAGAGTGATAACAAAAAGGGGATGAGGGAAAAAGAAAGGGCTGGGTCTTTAGAGAAGGGGTGATTGAGTCTGGACACCAGGGTCCTTATTCCCAACTCCTACCCTTTGGAGTGAGATTAAGAGTGGGATGGAGAAAGTAGCACCGAAAGGCCAGAGGGAGGGGCTTACTAGGCCCTAGAGTCCAAGCTAAGCAATATTCAAGTGAGCAGCACTGTGCTGGCCTTGGCTCAAAGGGTGGGAGTCCAGGGCTCTGGCCCAGCCTCCTGGCCTGGCCTATTTTTAGCTCTGAGCAGCCTGGCAGAAGTGGGCAGTGTATGACTGTGTGTCTCAGTGAGCGTGAGCATGTGCGTGGAGTGAGTGACCACCCGTGGTCATTACTACAGCCCGTTAACCAAATATTTGCTCATTGCTCCATCTTGTTTTGTATTCTCATTCTATTTGCCTAGACAGCCGTGTTCCTAAAGCATATCCATTTCCTACAAGGTCAGTTCTGTTTCCCCAAACCAGCTGTCAGGGCTCTGGCAGGGCCTCCCCACCTGGAAAAACTTTGTAACCTCCTGGGATGATGGGCTGGAGATAATGTTTTTTCTTGTTCCAACTATTTCGTTGAACTATTTGGTAGACGAAGAGCTGGATGTGAAGGGGGAGGGTAGGTACACATTCTCTCTATAACTTTGGGTTCCCAGGGTGGGAGTGGAGGTTAGATACCTGTGTCTCCATCCTCTCCCTGGCCAAATTGAGCTGCATCTCTGGGTGTCTAAGGTGTAATGGTGGGAGGGTTTGTGGCGGGACCTCACAGATCTCTTGAAGGGGGAATGGAGAGCCAATGCATGGAGAGGGTTCCCTTAGAAAGGTTGTATGCCTGGAGGCAAGAGACTAGCTGAAATAATATCCCATTGCCATCCAGCCAATTCCAACCACGGCAACCCTATGTGTGTAGACTAGAACTGTACTCCATGGCGTTCTCCAGGCTGTGACCTTTCAGAAGCAGGTTGCCAGACCTTTCTTCCAAGGTGCTCTGCGTGAGTTCAAACTGCCAACCTTTCAGTTAGTAATAGAGCACTTAACCATTTGTGACACCCAAGAACTCCAAATAACTGGATAATCTCAGACCCAGGAAAAAGAGCCCAAGGGTGTGGGCTCGGGGTTGGGGCTGAAGTTCCAAGGTTCCAAGCAGAACTGCCTCCCGCTGGCACAGACAGGTCTCATGCCTCACACCTGCATTTGTTTGATGTTTGAGGAGGCAGGTGTAGGTATATGTTGGGAGGGGGAGGGGCTAGTCAGCTGGTTCAAGGATCTACTGGACAGGGGAGGAGCATGAGCAGTGCTAAGGAGCTGGAACAAAACATAGAGCTGAGAGTTAGGCCTGATCTTCTCTAATCTTTAGGAATCTGTGTCTCCTAGACCTAGATTCCACCTGTAGTCTACCCTAGCCCCTCCTGCTGTGTTACCAAGTGTGTAGGCAGAAAGCTCTAGGCTTGGCAGGGGCTCAGGCTGACATGGGAGGGTGAAAGAGTTTGGAAGCTCTATGTTATGCAGTAGATTGGCAGGGAGTAGAGGTGTGCCCACAACTGTCAGATCCTTGGTATGACTGGTTTGGAAATAAATCACAAGCGAAAGTACCAGGTGTCCTTGGAAGCCAGGATTCCGGATAGGTGTAAGAAAGAGAGAAGAGACCGTCTAGGAGCATCCTAGTAGTTCAGATCCTGGCAGATGCTTCAAGAAGTCTGACTTTACTGCCCCATGCTGTGTTATGTTGTGTCAGGTGCCGTCAAGTCAGTTCTAACTCATAATGACCCTGTGTACAACAGAACGAAACACTGCCTGGTCCTGCGCCATCCTCACCGTCTTTGCTGTGCTTGAGCCCATCGTTGCAGCCACTGTGTCACTCCATTTCACTGAGGGTCTTCCCCTTTTTCCTGACCCTCTACTTTACCCAGCATAATATCCTTCTTCAGGGACTGGTCCCTTCTGCCAATATGACCAAAGTACAAGAGATGAGGTCTGGCCATTCTTGCGTCTAAAGAACATTCCAGCAGTACCTCCTCCAAGACAGATGCCCCCCTTGCTGTAGGACATCACAATTCTTGAGAACTTTTTAGTGCTTGGAAATCTTGTCCAAGGCAGGGAAATAGGTTAAGGAAGGGGCCAGTCGACAAGCACAGAGCCCTACTGACTTTTTCAGTGTCCTTTGTGTCACACTTGCAATCTCCTTCACAGACTCCCAACATAGATGTCATCTTAGCCAACCCACTCATCCCAGCCCCACTCTCCCTGCCTCTTACACAGTTCTCCTGTCTTACCCCACATAGGAAGGCAATAGATAGGAGGCATTCTGTCCCAGTAAAAGGATGACTCCCATCCCACATGCATAAAACACACATGTCCACCTGCCAGCATCCAGCCCATTTGCACCAGGAATAGCCACAGATGAACTCACAGCCAGTGTCTGTGAAATACATATGTACACAAACACACACATACTTGCACGGGGGGAGGTGGGGCCTGGTACTACCAAAGAACTTGAAATGTCACCAAAATCAGATGCCACAGAATTCTCCTGGGAAAGAGATGCCTGACCACCAAATATCCCCACCCTAGGCATCCTGTTTCTTCTTTCGGGAGAGTTCCCCTCCCAGATTAACATTAGCCCTTCTTGCTGTAACTGGCACCCACTTTCTAAGCCTAGAGAAGAGCAAGTGTCTCCCCAGTTCCCACCCCCAATGGTGATGATACTAAATAATGGAGACTCAAAGATGAGGATTTGGTCATTCAGTGTCTTTACCCTCCTCCTTTCAGCCCTGGATAATTTTAGCCCTATTTTAGCCCCATTAGCCTTCCCTCCCCACTACTGCACTGGAGGGAGCTGCAAGGACTCCAACCTCTTCGATCCCCTCACTTGCAAGCCTCTAAAGCCTTCAGAGAAAGGAAAAAACTATGCGTCCCAAGAGTCCTTGGACTGACTTCAACAACAATAAACTTTATTGGCAGCATGACAAAAGAACAGCAGCCAATCAGCAGCTAATATGTTAATTTCTTAGAATGGGACTGGATGTCCAGGGTAAGATTTTTCAGCTAAACTTTAGACTCTGACCAAGGTCCTGCCCAGGACTGCTCCTCATATTATATTTATCATGACAAGGATCTTCCCAGATGCTGTTTCCCAATTAATCAGAAAGGCAATGGGCCCAAGGATAAGGAGGACACCTGGAGGGGAGGGGCATGGGCTAGGATCAGTTATTTTCTCTGCTGTCCTCTCAGGCTGTCTGGGGTTTTAGGGGTGCTCTCTGCAGGGGCTAATCTGTTTGGGGAGCAGGCTGGGTGATGGAAGGAGACCTCTGTCCTCTCAGGTTACTTCTGACCATTGATCCAAGATAGACAGAAGGACAGCAGGCCAGAGATCGATGCATTAGTGCAGATGTAGCGGCTGAGATGGAGAGCTGGGGCCAGGACCAGGGGGAGATAGAGGGACAGAACAGGGGATTAGGGGATTGATGCAGAGAATGGGGCTGAACTTCTGGGTCCTCAGGAAGAACTCTACCCAGGAGAGGGGGTCAGACCCAGTGATGTCCACCTTGGGACAGTGGGTCCAGTGTAATATGGACATTTTTTGAGGTGTGTGAAGTGGGCTGGCCTGGATTATGTGGCTGAGTGCTCGTTGGGTGGGGCTCCATGATAGTGACTGTGGTGGTTCTGTATGTCCTCTTCCCCCTCCTTCTTTCCTCCAGATTCGGAGGCGCCGCCCCACTCCTGCCACCCTCGTACTGACCAGCGACCAGTCCTCTCCAGGTAACCCAAGAGATAGGTCCCTGAAGGGAATGGGGTACCTACAGACAGCTGGGTCCCAGTGAGAGAAGGTAGGTGCTAGATCGAAGGACAGATCTGAGGAATCAGAAACTTCCTCAATCCTGGAGGCAGAAGAAAAGCTAATCCTGACTGGATTATCAGAAGGATTTCCTTTGCTTTTGGAAAGACAGAACAGTGCTAGGAAGGGGAGGGAGACCACCTGGTTCCTAAGCCCCCCAGGAATTGGGGTGGTCAACGGAGTGCTGGTTGCTGCGGCAACAGCCTTTGAGGTTTCTCCAGCAACTGAGATGCTGCTGCCCCCACCCCCAGAGGCAGTGACAGCTGTGAGGGGGAGAGACCGCCTCCATCAGCTATCTTCATGGCCCCCAGAGGGGAAGGAGAAGGTTAGAAACAGCTCAGGGAGCAGCTGGGATTCTGGTCACTAGTGTCCCTGTCAAGGCCTGGGAAGAGAACAGGGTCTCAGAGAATGTCAGATGAGCTTGCATGGAAGAGGGGTGCTCAGGCTAATAAGACAGACTGGAGTTCAGGATGCCTGAGTCTCCAGCTTTCCTCCAAGTACCAAAAATGACTGCATCTTCCTGGACCCTGCACAGGATACATTTGCTATTCCCTGCCCAGAATTCCCTCCTATGCAGACAGGGTTCTATTCTGGACCTGGGATGGGGAGAATGGTTGGAAGGAGAAAAAGATAGATATTTGATGGCAAGAAAATAATAGAAGTACCACAAATCCTGCTTTTAGGGACCTCCGGGTGTGAGACAAAGATGGAGACAGAGATTGACCACAGCCCCAGAGATAAGTGCAGGACCAGATGTAGCTGGATAAAACCAGTTGGCAGAACAGGAGGGGAGCTGGAGGGGGTAGAGGTCTGGGACAGCCATCAGGGCCAAAGTCCTGGGGGCCAGATGGCAGGGACCAGATCAGAAAAGGTAACTGCAGAGTCCCCTACCCTTGGGAAGTCAGCTCTGCGGGAACTCCCCAGGATTTCCTGTCCTCACCACCTTCTCCATCCCCTGTTCTCCTCAGAGATAGATGAAGACCGGATTCCCAATCCACTTGTCAAGGTGAGCCAGCCTCTCCCACTCAACCCAGCCAGAGAACTCACAGACTCGCTAAGGGATTATCCTCCCACCTGTCCTCCCTTCCACGGGACCTTTTGATTCCCTCTTTCGTGCATCCCCCAAATGTGCCTGAGTGGATATTCACACATGCCTCCCCACACACTCTCACAACCCGTCTCTTTGCTCACCATTGTTGGCTGGGGAAGCAGGAGTTTTCTGCCCCTGTTTTCTAAAGCCCGCACCTACCCCAATCTCCAATCCAAATGCATGCAAGGCGGAAGAAGACAGGGAGAGGGGCTGGCACCCACCTGTGCTCTGTGTTCTTCACAGTCCACTTTGTCAATGTCTCCACGGCAACGGAAGAAGGTGACGAGGACCACTCCCACAATGAAAGGTTTGCAAGGCCCTTTCTATCTGTTTTTCCCCCTGTGTCTGAGGCTGAGGAATAGACCTAGTTACTCCTTTAGATGACATCCTTGGGAGGTCATTAAGTCTGCCTCTGTTAGAATATAGCTGTTGCTACACAAACTGGGACTTGAATTCCAACTCTGCCACCAACTAGTTGTGTGGCCTTGGAGAAATTGCTCAACCTACTGAGCTTTGAGTACTATTTCACTGTGGCAATTAAATAAAAATGTATGTGAATTCAATAAGCACAGTGCCCAACACATAGGACATATTCCAGTCTTTACTGAACCTAAATTGAGTCTTTTTTTTCCTGCCTCAAAGGGAGACCTTTTATCCCCACAAGTTAGGATAATTTTTTGTTCTTACAATGTCTTTCAGTACCCCTCATTTCCTTTGAAGGAAGTACTTTTATGTTCTGGACCCTTATTCACCAAAAACTCACTGCCGTCTAGTCGAATCCTGCTCACAGTGACCCCCATTAGGTTTCTGGTGCTGTAAATCTTTACAGAAGCAGATCGTCCCATCTTCCTTCCACGGAGCAGCTGGTGGGTTTGAACCACCAGCCTTCTGGTTAGCAGCCAAATGCCTTATCCACTATGCCACCAGAGCTCCTTTTACCAGTTACTGTTGTTGTTGTTGTTGTTGATATGTGCTATTGAGTCGTCCCCAACTCATACCAACCCCTCCTTGGGTTTCCAAGGCGGTATCACTAAGGAAGTAGATTGCCCAACCTTCCTTCCGAAGAATGGCTGGTGGGTTTGAACCGCCAGCCTTCTGGTTAGCAGTCAAGTGCCTTAGGCACTATTCTACCAGAGCTCCCTACCAGTTACTAGTTGCTGTCAAATTGATTCTGATGCATAGCAACCCCATGTGTGTCAGAGTGGAACGGTATCCATAAGGTTCTCAATGGCTGGTTTTCAGATACAGATCAGCAGGACTTTTTTCTGCAGCACCTCTAGGGGGGCATGAACCTCAAAACTTTGGTCAGCAGCTGGGCATGTTAACTGTCTGTACCATCCAGTGTTCCAGCCTAGCTCTAGTCCCTCCTTATCACCTAGCTAATGCCCTCTCTTGTTCATATTTTGTTGTTGTTGTTATTTGCCCTCGAGTCAGACCTGACTCATAGCGACTCCTCCTTGGGTTTCCGAGCCGGTATCACTACGGAAGTAGATTGCCCAACCTAATGGGAAAGTCAATCAAACACTTGGCAATGTGTGATGACCCTTCACTGGGCTATTGAATTTGGGAGTCCACAGGCTGATTCTGGCAGTCATGTTCAGTACTTCCTCCTTTTCCCTGTCCCCAGAGCTCCAGATGATGGTTGAACATCACCTGGGGCAACAGCAGCAGGGAGAGGAGCCTGAGGGAGCTGTGGAGAGAACAGGGCCCCAAGAGTCCTGCCCCCCTGGGATCACAGACACAGAAGCAGAGTCAAGGCTGAGCACCTCTGGCACAGCACAAAGTATGTTCAGGCTGGGGAGGGACCCAAGCATCCTGTTCCCCAGCCCAGGAGGAGACAAGCCTCACCCATTGCAGAGTTTGCCTGGGAGAATTCTAATAGTATCCAGAAACTATGTTGAGAATATGGATATATTTGCATGTATTCATGCATTCACATCTCTTCCCCTGTCCTTACAAAAGGACACAGCCCCTCCCAACTTGAACTTCAGGGATCCCTATTGTAGCTGTATTGGAGAAGCCCACTGTAATGAAAACAGCACTCACAGGCTAAAATCCTGGCTCTGCCAGTTTACCAGCCAAGAGCAACTTCCTTAACCTCAGGCTATAAAATGGTAATCATGGCACCTATTTCATTGGGTCATTTGTGAAAATTAAATGAGATTGGTTCTTAGCCCAGCACCTGACACAAAAACTCACTGCCATCGAGTCAGATCCAACTCATAGCGACCCCTCCTTGGGTTTCCGAGGCAGTATCACTACAGAAGTAGATTTCGCAACCTTCCTTCTGAGGAGTGGCAGGTGGGTGTGAACCACCAGCCTTCTGCTTAGCAGTCAAATGCCTTAGGCACTACGCCACCAGAGCAATAAAATGAAGCTGATGGTGGTGGTATTAATACATGTCCACAGTCCCTTAACCCAGAATATTTCAGAGTTCGGAATTTTCTTGCCTTGTGGAAGGCAATGGTGTGCATATACTGTAAATTAGGTAATACCCCCAACAGAGTATCCTGTAATCAAACACATTAGTATATTTCTGCAAGCAAATGAATGGTCCAACTAAGTGGGATAAATAAGACTATAAATAGCTTACCAATTTAGGTCAGTAGCCACATACTGAGTTTGTACCCAAATAAAAAAAAGATTTTAGCGTTTTCTTAAATTTCTTATTGCAGACTAAAAACAGGAAACCTATAGTAGTAATTGTGATCAGAGAGAACCCTGGTAGTCTTGCCCACTTACTCGTTTGGTCTTAGGCCACTCTCAGGGGTCATTAGGGTGGAGGGTAAGGTGAGTAGAAACAGCCCCCTATCTGCAAGGCCTCCATGAATGCCACTCTCCCCCCTTCTGCCCACTTTCCCTCCTTAGAGCCTGCAGGAGCCATCCCTAAAACTCAGCAGCGGGGCAGTGAGGAACCCAGCACAGAGGCACCCTCCACCCATATACAGCCATTGGATTCCCAGGGAGCCAACTCGGTAAGACCGCAGGGTGGTCTGCCAGGTCTGCAGGAGAGCAGGCTGTGTGGATGGAGCAGGGGGCTAGGGTTTGGAGTCTGAGTAAAGGGAAACAAAGGAATAACTTCAGTCACTGAAAAGTTATTCTATATGGTAAGAGGACTTTGCCTCTGACTGGCAATGAGAAATGGGATTAAACTGTAGCAGGAAGGATTGAGGTTAATTTTGTATAGGTCTTCTAGCTCCTGGAATGGGTGATGGAAGCAGGCCAAGGTTTTTTTTTATAAAGAACATTTAGAACCCAATGGGAGCTCCTCATCTGCCCAGGCTGGGTGCACAGTGGCCGTCTGGAGGTGGAGGCATTGATGAAACAACCTCCTGAGTGTTGATTTGACAGTCCTCAGTTCCCCCTGCAGAGACTGGACAAGAGGGCAGAGACTGACATCAGACACCAGAACAACCTTCCTAGAAGTTAGATGCTTGATGATTGGGATGGCTGGTTAGACTAGCAGGAGAGAGGACTAGATGACCCCCTGAGACCCTCTGGCCTCTCACTCATCTTCTCTTTCTGTCTCCTCCCCCTACAACAGGTCTGAGTGAAGAAGTTATCCTGGAATCAAGACTGCACATTGACAAGGCATGGACACTGGATTTATTTCTTCACTTTTGGGAAAAATCTCTTGTTTTTAAAATGTGATAAATTTGGTGTTAGGTCCTTGGCACTTTTCTTATTTCCCAATTTGGAGAATCCTAACTCCCTCCCCTGTCTTACTGCCCTCTCTATAGCTCCCCACCCTCCTTCCCAGCAGCCTGTAGGAAGCAGGAAATAGGGGAGCAGGACAGGATCTTGAGGAGGGAGGCATTCTTCCCCTAAGCCTGCCTGTACTTGCTACAGAAAGACAGATGGGGGTCAAACAGGTGGGAAGACTAACATTCAGGGTGTCAAGAAGGCAGGTGGCCCCAGGTTCTCATTTTTTATTGAAGAAGAGATATGAACACCTGGCAGGAATGCTTGCAACTGGAAGACTGGGTGTTGCAAAGCCTTTGACCTCCCCAGCTGTGACTGTGCTGTGGGTGCCATCTGCTGGACAAAAGGAAAAACTGTACCCTGGAACTTAGTCCAAGGGAAGCAGGAGTGACTGTGTTGTGTGGATGCCTCTTCGCCGGTCCTCCAGAGCTTCAGCTGCCTTCGTTTGGGATTCCCAGACTTTGGGATGTGTTCCCCTCTCCAGCTATGAGAAGACCACCTCCCCTTGTTCCAGCCCCAAGAGCTCACTCCATTAACAAAAATGGATTCAGAACAAAGTGACTGTTGAAGAAGAGGCCCTGGCTGGAACTGGAAGGGTCATCACTCCCCCTTCTCCTAGACACCGAGGGACCAAGGTAAAAGACAAAAACCAATCAGAGGTGAAGAAACTTCTACAGACCCCACAGCCAGACCTCTCCTGCCCACTGCTTTTGATTTTTTCCAGGTGGTGAGGGGAGAAGGTGGACACTTCTCGGGAAAGGCTGGGTTTAATGGAAGAAGACCAGACTACTAAAGAAGAAGTGGGGTGGAGGAAAAAGAGCAGCAGAGCCTCAAAAGTGTGCACCTACTAGGTGCCCTTGGGCAATACCTCATCTCTTTTGGGACCTCAGCCTGCGCACCTATGTAAGGGAGAATACCTCACCAGGTGTTATCAGGCTTAACAGAGTGCATACATGAGGGTGCACGGTGAACTTCCACCCCAGTGAACACCACACACAGGCCCAGTCTCCCTTCTTTATTGATCTCTGGCTATAACAGGGTCTGGGAGACCAAGGACGGGTGAGTCACATGCGTCTCTGCCCCCCTTGGGGGGTGGGAAAGACAAGTGTCAGGGACCATGGATATGAACTCCACACGAACAGGGCCCACTGTACAAATGCATGGTTGGTATTTACAAGAAAGGAGGAGGGAAGTCACCTGGACTTTGGCCTTTCCTGGGGCAAGGTGGAGGTGAGGAGGAGCCTGAGGAGAGGAAGGGACACTGGGCTGGGTTGTGCTCCATTCAGAGAGCTTGACAGCAGCAGCTCTGAGTCCCTTCCCCATTAGCCTTCCACCAGCCATTCCTCATTTGTCCCAGGGGAGGGGCCTCTAGGTACCTGCAGCTGGGCCAGTTCAGGAGGCTGGGGACGAAGAGGGACCCTCTCTGTTAGCAACACGGGATTATTGGATTATGCCTCACCCTCCCCACTGCACCCTTGACCCCCACCCAGCTGGTCTCCTGCCTTGCTCATAAGATGCATCCTGAAGGTGCTTTGCTGTGGAGACCTCAAAGCACTTTACAAACATTGGTCGGATGGGAACCTCCCAGCCCTGGTAGGAAGAGGCAAAGGGCTTAGGACTCAGCCAGGGCAAGGACCCAGAGAAGGCCTCCTCTCAGCCCCTGGTCCCAATGGCTCCTCTCTTCCCAGTTTCCATTTCAGAATGGGGGAGAGGGGTGATTGCAGAGGGTCAGACAAGGGATGGGGCTGAAGCAATGCAGGTCTTGGGTAAAAAGGATGGCCTCTATTCCCAGGTCCTAGAAAGGTACCATGCCCTGAAGGAGCCCACTCCCCTCCCCATATGTAAGGGCTCTGAAAACCCCCAGCTTTCTGTCCTATTCCCACCTCTCCCAGAGGAGAAGGGAGACCCAGACCTGCCAGCTAAGATCTGGGGTGGGGGGCTGAGGGAACCCCCAAAATGTATTGCTTAGAAACTTGGAGGCAAAAAAGGATAGGGGAGGGCCAGGGGGGCTGGCATCTCTGACCCTCCCCCCAAGCCCTGGGGAAACCCCTAGGAAGCTCCCCCTTCTCAGCCAAATGACCATGGGGGGAGTCCAGAGGCAGGGGGATGGGCACAGTGACCACTGGGAGACTGAAGTTCCCCATTCTTGCTGCCGGGAGATTAAAGTGCACCCCAATGGGTTCCAGGTGGGGAGGGGGCCCTTCCCCCAACCCCACAATCTCTGGCATTTGGCCTTCAGGTGGGTTATCTGTTCCACGACCTCTGGGCTCCCTTGGAGCAGATGGGGGAGCCAGTCCCGATGGATGGTGCTGATGACATCGAAGACTTTAGACTCAATGAGGACCTGGAAAGATGGAGAAGCCTCAGTGCTCTAATCTTTGCTATTATCTCCAGCCTGACCTACCTTATCTAAGTCCTGGTGGATCCCCCACTCAGTCTCATGCACAGTTGTCTGAAAAATGCCCAGCAAAACGGTGCCCAGCCAGGGGCATGAGTAGGCCTGAAATCCAAGTCACGCTCAGCTGACTCACTGGGCCCTCTGCCCTAGGCAGGTTCCTTTTTCCTAATTCCCACCAATGTGCTGTACAGGCTAGTTGTAGCCTTGTTCAGGCCCCACGCTATTCTGCTTTGTTCTGAGGAGCCACTCCTTTCTTCCTTCAGGGACTGTAGGGCAGGAGAGGGTGGGAGGACTTCCCTACATCCCACTCACGCCTGGGCTCAGCTCTATGTCTTCACTTCCTCTATTTTCCTGCCTGAAAAAAAGGGAGGGGGGGTCTTACATCCTTTGGACCCCAGAGATGACCATTCAAGGAAGCCACGTTGGACACTCAGCTCTCAGTACTCTTCCCCACCCTCACCCTTCACCACAACCTGCTCACCTGGGCCACCCCAGGGCTAGTCCAGATTCCCATTCTGGTTGTGCTCATCTTCAGCAGGGGAGGGTGGGGCCTCTTCCTCCTCGCATGGCGATAGCCCATCAATGGACATCTGGTTGGTGATGCCTGCAGTGGGGCATGAAGGCAGTTGGAGTCAGACCAAGAAGTATTCGCAGAACCCAAACAGTATGTGGAGAAAAGTAAGGGATTCTCATCCATCCCTTTGCCTTCAAGCTGAGCTACACTCAACGTATCCCCACTTGAGGAGAACCTCTCCAGCCTTGCCAAAACTCACAACCCTTAACCTCCAGGTAAAAGAAGAGGTTTTCCAGCTAAGACCAGCAAGTTGCTCAAATCTAGGGGGACACCATTTACATGGACCACAATATGCATGAAATCCCTTGGATTGTAGATAGAGCTGTCCCTGAGTGCCTAAGGCACTTGACTGCTAACCAGAAGGTTGATGGTTCAAACCCATCAGCCACTCCTCGCAAGGAAGGTTGGCAATCTACTTCCATAGTGATATTGCCTCAGAAACCCAAGGAAGGGTTGCTATGACTCAGGTCTGACTCGACAGCACATAACAACAACAACATCCTCTTTTCAAGGAGCCCTGGTGGTGCAGTGGTTGATGCTTGCCTGCTAACCAAAAGGTCAGTGGTTTGAACCTACTAGCCACTCCTTGGGAGAGAGAGGTGGCAGGCTACTTCCGTAAAGACTTACAGCCTTGGAAACTCTATGGGGCAGTTCCCCTGCCTGTACGAATCAACCCATGGCAATGAATGATCCTCTCTCCAGCCCATTCTAGAATAGTCCAGGTCACTCAGCCAGTCTTTCTTGTGATCTGTCTTTAGTCTGATAAGCTCCATTCCCCGCTCTAGGGCTCAAACAAGAGCATTCTCCAGAGGCTTAAGGAAAATGGACCTGCTACTCTGTAGTGATACTGCCTCAGAAACCCAAGGAGAGGTCGCTATGAGTCAGGTCCGACTCAACGGCACATAACAACAACAACAACAACTGCTCCATTAGTCTTCACCCCAAGATGTCACCCCAGCCCCAATGGTACCCACCACTTGCTGCTCGTTCCTTCCATTTCTGCTTGTTTTCCTGAATGTACTTGGTCCAGGTGGAACGGAAGCTGATCACATCAGGGTTGGGCTCTCCCACTTCCACATCCAAAGAGGGCTGGCGCCACTGGAAGCTAGAATCAGGAACCCCCCCAACTCCAGAAGTGAGACCCAGCCCACTCAAGAACCACCTTCACAGCCATTAGACATGAGGGGAAAGGATGGAAGAGCGGGAGTAGGCTTCCTGAGCCTAGTTGTCCTCCTTCTCCTTCTGCTGGGTATACCTCCAAGATCTTGTCCTTCTCCCTTCAGTTTACCCCTCCCTCTCCACACCTTCCCTCCTCACAAAAGGAAAATAAAAACAAAGCAGAAAGGCAATAAACACAGAGCTAACGTAATAGAAAAAATGGAGAGATGGGTGGAGGGGAACACAGGTGCAGGCCATACCCTTCTGTTCCCATCCTGTGTGACAAGTGGCAGAGGGGCTCCAAGCTTGGAGTTGCCTGCTTCTCCACCACCCCTGCCATGGATGTACCTCCTCCCTGTGAGTCACTCCTCTCTGTGAGTTAAACTTTCCTCTCATAGAACTAGGAAACTTGGCCACCCCAGATACCCTCACCTGGGCTGATTTTTAGACTTGGAGTCCTCATCTGCCAGGGGCTGCACACTCTTCTCTGCCACATCAGTGAGCACAGAGAATGTGGGCTCCACAATGAAGTCAATGAAACCTGCAGCAAAGGAAGCCACAGTGATGGTCTCTTACCCACAAGGCTACTAAAAAAAAAACCCAAACTCACTGCCGTTGAGTCAGATCCAACTCATAGCAACCCCTCCTCAGGTTTCTGAGGCAGTATCGCTATGGAAGTAGATTGCCCCATCTTCCTTCCGAGGAGTGGCTGGTGGGTTTGAACTGCCAGCCTTCTGGTTAGCAGTCAAGTGCCTTAGGCACTACGCCACCAGAGCTCCTTGGCCTAGGCCCAGACAGTACTTTTTCCCTTCCCCAAAGGAAAGGGCACTCACCAATCTGAGACTGTGCCACAAGAGTGGAAGTGCGATCACAGAGTGGAGAAAATGGCAGGCCCAGCTCTGCCTCCTTGTCACCCTGGGGGAGAAAGAACAGGTCAGGAGATACCTCACAGCTACCAGATCTGGGGTAGGGTGGGGTGGTGGGGAGTTTTTGTGCCTTTCACCAGGAAATATGGTGCATAAAATGACATGCAAATTGGTCCTGACAACTATTGCTAAGCCTGTGGGATAATGAGATTGTATCCCAATGGTTTTGGGATCAGGTCTGAAGCTGCAGGTGGCTAGATGAAGGTATAGGAAACTTAGAGAGAAAAAGAGGAGAGAAGGCCCCCATGGGCAGGGGGCAGGCAAAGATACCTGACGGAAAAATTCCTCCATAAGGGCCTTAGTCCAGCGGCTGTGGACTGACCACTGCTTGGTTGGATGGCTGATGTCAGCAGCATGGAGCAGCAGAGACAGGGCCTTGGGCTTGTCAATCCTGGTTGGAGCAGGTAGCAAGGGAAGGGAGATTGATCTTTTAGGAAAAGGAACCCTGAACCATTCTCTAACTTCATGCCCTTTCAGACCCACACACAAACACCCTTTCACCTACTTCAAACACCTTCTGATACTATATACACACACTTACATATACTCTAAGTACATTCTTATATACAGGGGACAGACAGCACAGGTCAGTAGCTGAAAGCCCAGGCTTTCAGAATTAGAGGACCTGGATCTGAATCCCCACTATACCTACTGCACACTAGCTCTGTGACACTGAGCAAGTTGCTTAAAATTTCTGTATGTCATTTTCCTCAATCCTAAAATGGAAATAACAGAATCTACCACATAAAGTTATTCAGAGGATTAAATGACAGGTATAAGTACTTGGAAGAGTGTCTGGCACATAGTAAATATCTATGATTATTATTATTATCCCCCCAACAATGACACGCTCTGATACTGTATGCCCTCTCACACACAGACACCATACACAAAGATTAACACACACCTTCAGGACACACACAGTCCATTCTGTCTGATATACATTTATACATTCCCAGCCACTTTTAAGCAACACCATATGTAATTATGGCATTTGTTCTGTGCTTTCTTTTTACTTCATATGACTCTCCCAACAGCTTTATTAGAGTAGAAACTAGTGGTAAGCTGTTGTGGGGGAAGACATATTATTATGACCATGTCGCAGGTAAGGAAACTGGAGTACACAAAGGTTGAATGTTGGATTTCCCAATATTCCGGAGTAAGCCTGTCCTGAAGCTGGGTGGAGAACCCCATCTCAGACTCCCAGCCCAAAGCATTCTCCAGCAGACCAGTTGCCCGGGCTATGCATAAACCCAGGATCGTGCCACACATGTCACATGCACTTACACAGAGATGTACTCAGATACCTGGAACCAAGAGTATATCCAACTACCCTGTGTGTATGCCCCCAATTCATACACCCCTCATTCTGCCCTGGACCCAGCCACATCCCATCAAGTGCCACCTCTCCAGTTGCTGCAAGGCTGTCTTCATGGACTTCACTTGCTGGAAATGGCAGGACATGTCTGTGGCCAACACCATCTCGATGACCAAGGCCCGCAGCTCTCTGAATGAACAGAACCAGAGAAGGGATCAGCCTCCTCAGCACTGCTGGGCAGTGGCCCAGGAAGTGGGAAAAGAGGACTGGGGTGCAGGGATATCTTAGGGATGTCTAGTCTGGGCTTCTGCTCACACAAACTCATCCCTGGTGAGATTGATGAAAATGTTCATCTCGTCATCCTGCATCATTCGGAAAACAGAGCTGATGTGGTGATTCTCCAGCACTGAGCGATCATTGTATAGGATGGCACATTCTGACCTGCAGAGTCAAAGGCCTTTGTGTCCAGCCTCTTGCCAAGGAGAACTCTGGAAACCTCCCCCAATGCCACTTGGCCCTCTTGCCCCTGCCACATCCCCATCCCTCACTTGGTCTGGATGTGGAAGCTGTTGGTAGTGCCTGTGTGCTCGTAGTCATGGATGGCTGCAGCAAAGATGATGGCCAAGACCTCAATCTCTGACAGGCAGTGCTAGGGGAAAAGGATGAAATGAAAGAGGGGTGACTCCCTACCAGCCACTGCCCAGAAACCTCCACACACAGGGGAGATCACTCAGCTTTTTCCTTCTGCTCTTCAAGGCCAGTTCTTGGGCTAATGCAGCCAGCCTTTTCCCCTGGAATGGCCATAGACCCTCCTCCATCCCCACCTGCAACATTCCCACTGCATCCCAGCACTGCTCAGGAAGTTATGGCCTCCAGGGAATCCTCTAGAGTTGAGTCAATTCAACTCTGTAGACTTTAGGATGCCAAAAGAGAAGGACCGAAGAGAAAATTGGAAATGGGAGTACAGTCTAGACTCCCCAGCTCTGGAGCCCAAAGACCCTGAATCTCAACAGTTATCTCCAGGGCACCTACCACCATCCCTGTGCGAAGCAAGAAGCAATGGACTGTCTGAGTGACGTCAGCTGCATGGATCTGGTTGTGGTAAGGATTCTTGTACTTCCCATAGCCTGTCTCCAAGGCATCCAGGAAAGTCATCAGAAACACAGTGGGAATCTGCAGGAAGAGGGAAGAAATGGAGATAGACCAAGAATATGCAGGAATGACAGGAGGCTGAGGACTGAGATCAGCACTGCCATCTTCCTTTAGAAGGCAGCGTGGCACAGGGAACACAAGCTCTGCCTGCTGGGTGAACTGGGCTCATATCCTGGCTCTACCACCTGCTGACTGTGTGACCTTGGGAAAGTCACATGCCCTAGACACTTATTTGCTGAATGAAGATAACACCACCTGCCTTGACTTTAATGAGGTAAGTACAAGGCACTTAGTAAGTGCTCTCTAAAGAGTAGTTGTAATTCTTATTTTTTTCCTAGAGGTTTTTGTGAGGCTGGCACTGGACCAGGCATTGTTTCATTCTGTTGTACATAGGGTCGCTATGAGTCGCAGAGGTTTTTAAGAAAAGGAAAGAAAGCTTCCCTCCTACCTTCTAACCACCCTACCCCAGCCCAAAATCCAATACCACAGGAGAAGGACTCAGAAGCAGGGGAAAGGATAAGATGACCTGGAGGGGGCCCTTCCAGCCAGCTAGGGAACACCTTCTTCTCTGAGAAGCCTTCCCTTACCATCTTCCCCCCACGACACCACATACACACACACACACACATCCCTCAATCACCAGGGCCGAGTTCTGTCCATGTACTCTCAATTCTGTCCAGGCCTCTTTATATGCACTTGGGTATATCTGCCTCCTTCAAAAGACTCAAAGCTCCCAGAGGGCAGGGCTTGTAGAAACAAGATCTAGATCTCCTGAGGCTGGGATGGGACTGAGGTTCAGGACTTGGGGACACTTCTGTAGAGAGGAGCAAAAGAGAAGACAGAAGATGTTCCACTTGTCTATCAGACCCTCATATCTCCACCCCCCACCCCTGGAGGGCTGTGCCCCAAATTCAGGGAATTTTAAAGAATTGTTTCCATAACAACTGCCCTTGCTTTTGCGTTGCCATGGCATCCCTGGAAGGAAGGGGAGGGGAGGGGCTAGATGCCCAGGAAGAGATGGGAGCTTCAGAAGGTCTCTACTATCAGAGAAAACTAAACCAAAAAGCACCCCCTCTTTCTCTAAGTGCCTTGAAGCAATGCAGACAGGCTGGACCTACTCCAACCCCATACAGCTACTTTTGAAGTACCCAAAACCCAGTCCTTCCAGGTAAGGAAGGAAATTGGAAGAAGTCAGCATCTGGAATACACCTGATAACCAATTTGAAGAAACATGAGCTGAGAAAAGTCTGTGAAAAAGAGGATCCTGGTATTCTTTCTCCGGAGAGGGCAGGACTGGTGGGAAGATAATGAAACTATAGAACAGGCCTCAGGAAAGCACTGAAGGAAATCCCAACGCAGCATCTCAGGGACGTTTTGGAAACACTGTTAGGAGTGGTGGAAAACAGAGGTGTCAAGGGTCCAGGAAGGCTCACACGCTCACACTCGTGTAGAGGCAGAAGGATAGATGAAATGACCTTCCAAAGCCCATCTGGGAGGGGAATCCTACAACTGACCCCTTGACCACCCCTTCTATAGCTTCCTCAGAATACACATGTATTCTTTCACCACCAATATCTACTGCCTGCCCCCACCTGAGTGCTGACCAAAATACCCCTATTGTGACTTTTGCATCTCCTTCTCCATAGCCCTCACCCTCACCTTCCCCTTCCAAATGGGGTTTTGTCATGTGGAAGTGTTTTTTCCTGCCTCATCCCCAAAAGATGCTCTCTTCTAGCACAGGAGCCAGAAGGAAATTTAATCCTTACTCTTCCTTCCTGGCCACCAAACAGCCAAGCAAATAAAGTTCACACATCCTCATACAACCCCACCCCAGCCCTGCTGAGAGTGGATCCTCTCTATAACATTCCTTGGACAAAGACCAAAGCTGTGGGAGTCGGGAGGCCAATTTTGTTTTTTCCCCTGAACAGTCTCCTGAGGAAACAATTTGAGAGATTCTAGTCCCAAAGGGCACCAGCTGACAGCATTTGGACTCCAGGCCTCCATCTCCATAGGCAGGAGGCAGGACAGCTGAAAAGGAGAGGTGAAATGCACACCATCCTGGAGAGGACAAGTTAGGGAAAGAAAGCAGAGGAAGCGAGAGTGGAATCCCAGGCTAGATGGCTTCAGACCCAGACCTAGAAAGCAGTTAATAAAGTCAGAGGTTGGGACAGAGGCAAGAGAAAGATAGGCTAGACTGGGGGTGGGGGTGGAGGGTGCTTCCCTGAGAGGGACTGCGTGAGGGAGTCTATACAGTTGACTTGGTTGTGAATCTTTTAGAAAAGGAGTGGTAGGATTGGAAATCCTGCCTAGAGACATAGGTAGGATGATGCCTAACCTTGAAACGGCTGATGAGGCTATGCCGAGTCAGCAGCTCAAAAACAATGGTCCTCAGGGCGTGGTCATCTGCTGCTCGGTTCAAGGAAAAGACATCAAAGCACCAGAGGTCCAGGTTCTGTGGAGAAACAATGGAATAGGCAGGGAGGCTCTCAAGAGGAACTTCTCAGCAGCAGGAAGGGTTAAAATTAGACTTCAAGGAGAACTTCCCAATGAGCAAAGAGACTTGGAAAGCAGGAAACCAAAGAGGTAGTAAAATGGGCCTCTTTTTTCCCAGATATCTCTCAGCATGTAAGAGATAAGAATGCAGAGGTTTGCCTCTGGAGCAGAAAAAAAAAGTGGTTGTATGAACATGGGAATGACAGCTAAAAAGAAGAGGCAAAAATCGTGCTATAAACATTCTGGGAGTCCCAGTGGCTAGTCCATCCCCCAACCTTCTCTTCTTTCCCAAAACCAGGTGTCACCTTGAGACAGTGGAGGACCGCCGTGGAATAGGTGGGACCCACAGATGTGTATGTTCTCCGGAACATCCTAAGGAAAAATAATGAAAAGAAGTCCAGGTATAAAGGTCTAGAGAGTGAAGGTCTGGCCAGGTGAGGGTGAGGAATGAGCCACTGCCACATGGAATCATACAGCTGGTGGGCCCTGGAACACTAGGGTGGCTTGGAAAGAGAGGCACAGCTGAGGCTGAGGGAGTTGAGTGTGGCCGAGCCTTACCGTTCCACGAAGATCCCAGCCTGCACAGCATGAACGATGCTTCGGAACTTGGGCTTCTCCTCTGCTCGCCGGCCTTTAGCCCGGGCTTGCTGGGTGAAGGTGGAGGCCAGCCAGTCCCGCACCTCTGAAGGCACAGCATCTGACCGCAGCTCCTGCAGCTCATCCTCCGTATCCAATATGTGCCTGAGACCCCAGAAGGGAAGTCACAGAGGAGAAAGCAGGTGCTTTTACAACCTGGAGGCCTTGGGCCCAGCTGTACTCACACCTTAGTATCTCTCATGCCAACTCTCTCCTGTCTCCGTCTCCCACTTCCTTTCCCTGACTTTGCTTTTTATTTCTGCTTCTCTATCTAAGGTCTCCAATGAGGAAACAGGTCACTATGTGAGGTAGTGAGCATCCCATCTCTTAAAGTGCTCAAGCAGGCATTGCAATACCAACTCTAAAGGCTAAAGAGCAGCACTGCCCAACAGAAGTCAAATACAAGCCACATAAATAATGTGAAACTTTCTTTTAGCCACATTAAAAAGTTGAAAAGAAATAGATAAAATTAATTTTCATGATAAACCTTAGTTAACCTAATACATCCAAAATATTACCATTTCAATATGGAATCAATATAAAATATATTATTAATGAGACCGCTTACATTCTTCTTTTTTTCCAACAACTGCAAACTCTGGTATGTATTTTACATACACAGCTCAATTCAACTGGCCACATTTCAAGGGCTTAATAGCCACATGTGATTAGTGGTGCCCCCTTTTGGGCAGGGCAGCTCTAGAGGGGTTCCTGAACTGGGGAGAAGGTTGGGACTAAGTGAGCATTAAGGTCCCTTCTATCTCTGAAACAGGCTTCTCAGCTCCCTGATATCTGTGTGTTTCCATCTTTGTATCTCCGTCTGTCCCTCTGCTTCTTTACCTCTGCCAACATTTCTACCGACAGCTCTTTCTAGCTGCTCCTCCCATTCCCTTTTTTCCTGCCTCTGTCCCTGTCACGTGTCCCTATCTCCAGCTTCATCTCTGGATGACTGTGTCTGATATCTTCCTCCATCTCTGTCTGTAGGTTTCTCCTGGTGGCCCAGCATCACCACACTCACCGTGTCTCGTCTATATAGACAGCCTCCAGCAGAGAAGCTGTGTACTCCAGGTTTTTCTTCAGTTCCTCGATGTTCACCTCCCCATTCTCCAACTGCTTCACCATGTAGCGCAGCCTGTGGGGAGCGGGCACAGATGTGCTTAGGCACTGCTACCTTGTCATGAAACCATGACAAGACCCTCCAACAGGGGTGCATTTTACAGAGACACCCTGTCTCCATCAATAATTTAAAATTCTAACAATAATAATAGCAACTCACATGTTTGCTCTCAGGTTATTGCCAGTGCCTGTATTAAGTTTACCTATTCCCAAAATTTAACTCCAGGCTTTTTCTGACTTTGCTATCCTCTCTCTACTACCATCTCTCAACACCTTCCGTTTAGTCAGTGTTTCCTGCGAATTCCTGTTTAAACTGCCCAGGCCCAGTAGAATTGGACAGGCACAAGCCTCAGGGGTGATGTTTTGGGGATGATCCGTTTCATTGTATGAAATAACCTCAAGCTAAAACTGCTTATGAGAGAGTGTTGGGATCAGTAACAACCAAAACAGTCCCCACGATTCTTTCTCTTGGTCATGGAAGTAGGGGGTGCATGTCCATAGTCCCTCTGTCCCTGGCAGGGACAGCAAAGACACAGAACAAAGAGCAATCTGAATGCTTTCACCCAGTCTCACTCCATCCAGGCAGAGCTAATGGATTATGATTCCAGAATCCATCAACCACGACAAAGCAAGATTAACTCCTGCCTCCCCAGTCCCACAGTTGTAGTACCTGTCCCCTGCCTCTGCCCCAGCCACAGCTTCCCCCAGAGCAAAAGCCATAGGAGTGGAGCCAGGGAGAGGGAAAGGATCTCACTGGATGCTTTGCCTGAAGGGACTAGCCCCTCATATTTTACACTTGTGAGTTCTAGGCATTGGTGAATAATTGGGAGGCTTCTTCAAAGTCTAGCCAATCTAGACCAGGCAATCACAAAGCAAGCAAAGCTCTCTGACATTAGATGGTGATTTTTTTAAAAAGCCATTAACCATTTTCCTCTTGCGCTCCTTCTTCCAGCCCCACCCCACATCTAGAATCAAGAGGAGAGTGAAATAGTGGCCACTACAATTTCTCACTAAGAGGGGCTTGGCAACTCAAGGTCACCCTATGAGTCAGGGAGGAGAAGAGAATGAGTCAGGGACCAGAGGCTGAAATTAGCATCAATTCCCAGGGAAGCCGGGGGAGGGAGAATAATGGCATTCCCAAACAGAAGTAGCTCGAGAATCCTGGGGTCTCAGCAGCTCTGGAATAGAGGGTACCCAAAATAGCCAGCCCCAGGAAACGTCACAGGTCAACTCTCACCTCTGGGCCCAGCAGTCCTGGCTGACATGCCTGAATGCAAACAGGGGAGAAGGGAAAGGGGTAAACATGGGAGGTGAACGAAGTTGGAGGATGAGACTGCAGGCTTCTTAAGTGGGCAATCTCCAAATCTCACTTCCAGCCTTCCTGCTGCACTGTCTCCATGTGGAAACAGCAGGTTGTTTAACAAAAAAAGAGCATGATGTAAATTTGAACATTTTAGTAAAGCTCAGCCCCAACTCAGACTTCATTAGGGCGGAGGAATGGCGGCTAGACCACATAAAAGATTTTCCTAGCCCTTCCAGCCAGGAAGGGGGCTACAGAGCCGGTCTCTCCCACTATACCCACACAGAGATCACAGAAGAAAGATGCGCAGTCTGCCTTCAGAACCAGACGCAAGCCTGGGCTCCCCTCTCCTGGCTAGTTTCCTCTGAGAGGGGCCCTCGAATCTGGGGATACACAACCCAGGAAGAAAGAAAGGCGTCTTCTACTGCCTCTGGTCCCATCACTCCCCCACATTCCCATGCCAGCCCTCGTCTTCCATTTCACTCAGCCCCAGAGATCAGTGCCTACCACCAAAGTTCCTCCAACCCACCGCTTGAAACACACATCCCAAAGTGTACGAGCTCCCAAAGTGAACAGCCAAGCCCACGAGTGCTCATCTGCTTGTATTCGCATAATCACTAACAAATATGCCAACTCTTCATTTTAAAAAGTGACTGCTCCTACATTCTCTCATTTTTAGTACCAAAAGCATTTGACTGCTAAACACAAGGCTGGTGGTTCAAACCCACCAGCCACTCCTCAGAAGGAAGACTGGGCAATCTACTTCCGTAGTGTAGTGATACGGCCCGGCCCGGGAAACCCTAGGAGGGGTTGCTATGAGTCAGATCTGACTTGACGGCAGTAAGGGAGTGAATAAGTGATAGGCCCATGAGGGAGGGAGGTGGGAAGGAATTGCTATCCCCATTTCCAATACAGAAGCCAAGGTTCAGGAGCATCTATGGCACCACAAGCGCTGGTCTAGGAGGCAGGAGTCCTGGGGTCAAACTTACAAGTTTCTGGCTATGAACTTTTGGGCAAGTCACTAACTTAATCGGTGTTTATCAAAATGTGGCCTTTAGGTCACCAGCAGCAGATTACCTGGGACAACTGTTACAGATACAGAGTCTAACCCTCACCCTACACCTTCAGAACCAGAATCCCTGAGGTTACATCCAGGGATCTGCAATTTTAACAAACACCCCAGATGATTTTCATGCACATTAAAGTTTGAGAACTACTATTTTAGACCTTCATTTTCTTCATCTGTAAAATATACAGGTCATTATATACTACCAGCCTAACAAGGTTGTTGATAAGATAATTAAATGAAATAATGTATGCAAAAGAGCCTAACAAAGCACCTAGCACGTACATTTGCATCAGAATGAACTGACCAGCATGATGCTTAGGCCACCAAGCCACATCACAGGCCCTTTAAATCCAACAAGCACCTGCCTTCTCTATTCCAAGCCCAGATGGAAAAGAGTAAGTCTATGTTAGATGCCAAAGGAGCTCTGGTGGTGTAGTGGTTAGGGAATTTGGCTGCTAACCAAAAGGTTGGTAGTTTGAATCCATCAGCTGCTCTGTGGAAGAAATATGAGGCAGTCTGCTTCTGTAAAGATTTAGCCTTGGAAACCCAGTGGGGATCACCATGAATTAGAGTCGCCTAATGGCAGTGAGTTTGGTTTTGGAAGGTTAGATGCCAGTTACTATCAAGTTGATTCTAACTCATGGCAACCACAGGTGTGTCAGAGTAGAACTGTGCTCCATAGGGTTTTCAGTGATGGAATTTTTTGGAAGCAAATCACCAGGTCTTTCCTCCAAGGCATCTCCAGGTGGACTCGAATCTGCACCCTTTTGATTTGCAGCCGAATACATTTGCACCACCAGGGACTCCAGTTTAGATAAAACCAAAATCCTCTGCCACTGAGTCAATTCTGACTCCTATAGGACTGAATAGAACTGCCCCTGTTGGGTTTCCAAGACTGTAAATCTTTATAGAAGCAGACTGCCATATCTTTCTCCCATGGACCGGCTGGTGGATTCAAACTGCTGATCTTTTGGTTAACAGCCAAGTACTTAACCACTATGCCATCAGCGGGCCTTTCTAGATTAGATAGAGTCTGGTAATAAGAAGGCTATCTAATAGAGGAATGGGAGAGTGGTAATGGCCGTGCTCTTCCCTATCTAGGTAGCCCTTTCCCTCATTTGGGGAGCTCTGGTGGTGCAGTGGTTAAGGCATTCAGCTGCTAACCAAAAGGTCAATGGTTCAGATCCACCAGCTGCTCTGTGGGAGAAAGATGAGGCAGTCTGCTTCTGTAAAGATTTACAGCTTTGGAAACCCTATGGCACAGTTCTATTTTGTCCAACAGAGTCACTAAGAGTCAGAATTGACTTGATGATGATGGGGTTTTTTGGGTTGTTTTTTGTTTGTTTGTTTGTTTGTTTTGTTTTGTTTTTTGTACCTCATTTCAGCCTAAAAATCACCTTATAAAGGTGGTTAAGTGATTTGTCCAAGGTCACACAACTTGTCAGTGGCAGTCAGGTTCACAGGGCCTACAACCCATGCTACTAGAGCCTAACATGGACTATGTTGGGGCAGAACAAGCTCAGTCATAAAATTAGCTCAGAGAGAAGTTGGAACCCAGCTACCACAGCTTCTTCAGTCTGAGTCAATCCATCCTTAATTAAATGTTTATATGTCTGTCAGCCCATAGTAGGCTGTGAGTGTCTTGATGCCACTGACAATGGCTTGTTTATCTTGGCCCCCTTACAGCCTGGCACACAGTAAGTGCTCAGTAAATGTTCATTAAATAAATAAAAGGAAAAATAGGCAGTTTAATCAGACATGAGACTATCTCCCAATTGAGATTTCTGAGCTAATGTTTCTGAAATTCTAATGGTGAGCCTCAGAAGGAGAGTGAGGTCATAGGTTGAGTTTTAGAACATCCTTCTTCCAAGTTCCTCCTCCTCCCCCTCCCTCTAGATCTTGTCCAGGAGCTCCTGTACAGCTTCTGTTGAAATCTTAACACAACATTATCCAGACACAGAAGGAGGGGAGTAAGGAAGAAAAAAAAAAAAATAAAGAACAAATTTGACAAGCTAGGAGTCTAAGAAGAGGACAGGACTTCAGGCAGCTGGAAGGATCCAGGTGTTCAACTTTACCCTCTTGAAGTTCTATAACCCCCAATCCTTACTTCCTAGCCTGACAAGGGTCTCTCATATTTTAAAGTCCCGCTAGAGTTAGGATCTCCCTAGACCCACCTCATCTCACCTCACCTCACTTCACCATTTTTCTGCAGGAAGTCCTTCATCACTTTTAATCTAACTGCTCTGGTTCAGCCATCAAAGAATCTGGCGTTTTTCTGTAGAATGGGATGCTCAATCCTGTTCAGGCCTCACCCAGACCTAAGGAAACCTGGAAGCTTCTTCCAACATTCCTTCCACCTCCACCCCTACCCATTTCACACCACCACTTCTCTCTCCTTTACCCTCAGTCCTTGCACCAAGGGAAAAGCCTCAGATCCTGACCCCTGGAAAGCCTCAGCCTCTCTTCACTCTAGGCAGCCAGCTGGAAGAGAAGGCTCCTGACAGTAGTAATTCCAAAACCCCAGAAGAGTTTGGCTTCCTCCCTTCCATCCCCCAACCCCAGTTCATTTCTCTGGATCACCATATGCCTGATGTCCTAGAGATTCCCAAAGCCCCCTACCATAGCTTCCAGCATCCACACTCCCAAA